TGCCAGAATCCCCTCCCTCACCGGCTGCCACACTCCTTTGGCTGCAGCCCAGGCCTGGGTTGGTGTCTGGGCTGAACTCACACTGCAGCTCAGGGGGAGTTTGGCACACGTAACACAGATGTGACACACGATGTGACACAGATGCGACACATGTAACACAGATGTGACACACGTGACACAGACGTGACCCAGACATGCAGAGCACTCACGTGCTTGCGGAAGAGGTCTGCGTGGGGGCCCAGCTGTGGGTCTGAGTCCCTGATGAACTGCATCACCTCCTCCACCGTCCAGGCCGAAGGGTCGCGGCCGCCGAGCCTGGAGCTGTCGCGGGGGCTGAGGTACCTGTCGGAGCCTGGGGATGCAGAGAGCACCATCACTGCAGCTGTGCCATGTCACCCACCCTGAGCCCACCACTGACCCTCCCCTCCCACAGCACACTGCAGGGCACAGCCCAGCCGTGCCTCACATCCCCCTGGCACAGCTCTGGTACCAAAGCCTCATTCCCTCTCCTTAGGCCTGACTTCCCAGAGCAGCCTTCTATACTGAGCCCTTTCCTCATTCCCAGCCCCGATTTTTCCTTGTCTGCCCCCATTCCCACTCCTCCTTGCCCACCAGCTGGCAGTTCCCAGCTGTGCAGAACACACTCCCATCTCCATTTCGGGAACATGTCTCTCCCCATGCACAGTTCCTCCCCCACTCCCAACACCTTCAGCACATTCAGCACAGCAAAGTTGGTTGATGTTTTCACTGCAGCATTTTCTGGACCCACAGGTGACACAGCCTGAGCTGACCCACCATGGTACAGCCCCTGGTCTCAGGTCTGCCTGCACCCATAGGGCTGGGGGAGGCAGCAGCAGCCTGAGCTTTTTAGAGGCTTTTACTGATCCTGCACACCTAAAATTATAACTTCTTCTGCAGCCACATGTGCTGCAGTGACCAGTTCAGCTCTCCTGTCCCTCTTCTTTCAGACAGACAAGTGTCATTTACCCCTCCACCCACTCTCCCACCCCAGCTCCCACCCAGCCCCTCCAGGCAGCTCCCAACCCCCCAGCCATTCCAGATCCATCTTCATGGACTCAGACACCCACTTGGACACAGTTCAGCTCCTGCCTCCTCCTTCCTCTCTCCCGACCTGCAGGTACCCCCAGTCTCCAGCCACGGAGCAGTGTGCCCTGTCTGCACTGCCACCCACACGGTGCCACCAGACCCAGCAGTGAGCTGTGCAGGGCCAGGCCTGGCACTTGCTGGAGTTGGAGAGGTGTAACTGGAGGGAGAGAAGCTTCATTGCCAGTTTTGCACCCTTGGGGCTGGTTCTGAGCTCTTACCCCCAGAGCTAAGCCTGCGCAGGGCAGAGGTGCTGCCCTGGCTGAGGCTGCAGGGCTGGTGCAGGTGCCTGTATCCTGGCAGGCGAAAGTCTCTGCAGCTCCTGCTGTGGCTGGAGGAGTTGACAGAGTTCAAGGCAGAGTCCATGGGGTCCAGGCGAGGCTCCAGGGGCCCTGGGAGGCCATCTCCCAGGACAAAGGTTTCACCTGGAACGCACCAAGCTGCAGTCAGTGCACCCGAACGCCTCGGCCCGACGCTCCCGCTCGGGGCACAGCCACAGCAGCACCCACTGGGTGAGCCCTCACTGCTGTCCCACAGCACACAGACCAGCCCAGGCACTGCTGCAGCACTGCTGGGAACTGCCAGACCCACCAGTCAGCAGGGACAGGGGTCAGTACCCAGACTGGAGCAGCAGCTGCTCTGTTCCTGACACCACCAGCTCTGCCCCAGTCCTGTGCCCCTCCTGCCCTGGGCCCCTGTGCTGGCAGGGCACTGTAGGGGCAGGCAGGGGAGGGCTGTCCCACCTGGCTGTCAAGGGCCCTAGGATTCACACACAGCCCTGAGCAGGGGTAGGAGGGGATGGGAGGCTCCCTGAGGGCTCACACACTGCATGTCCCTGGCACCAGTGAGCACGGGAACGGCCCCAGTGCTGGGACTGGGGTGTCAGTTAGCCAGGAGGGAGCCTGGACAGCAGCACACATGCAGAGCAGGAAGGAGCAGCTCAGCTGCACCATCACAGCCAGGCAATGCTCCCACACCATGCTGGTCCTCCAGCCCCAAAAGCAACATGCTGGTTGCAGCTGCTGACACCTCCTGCCAGGTCCTCTTCCAGCCTAACCACGTCAGACACCAGCTCCCTGTGCTGGGACTGGTCTGAGGGCTCTCCCCAGACAGGGTCCCAGGGAGACACCACCTTCCTCACCTTCTCCAGAAACACACTGAATTTCCAGCTGCCCATGGCACTGTCAGAATGGAGGGGCTGAGGGATTGCCCAGGCTGACAGGTTGGATCAGCTGAGCCATTAAGACCTGACTTTGCTGCTGCCCTGTGACAGCTCCATCTCAGGGCCACGTAGATTATACTACAGTACAACCCACTCTCAGCCCTGCAGCACCTGATGCCTTCAGAGTCATCCTTATACACTGCATTCCTTACTATGAAATACCTGGCAAGTTCCCACACCCACAGGAAAGCAGCTCCCACAGCAAGGGCACTGCCTGTGCCCTCCTGCCAGGCCAGCACTCCTGGCTGGGACCTGGAGCTCCTCCACCACTGTCCATAGAGACCCCGAGGGCAGCTCACAGCCCTGAGCTGCTGCCACTACAGCTGTCCCAGCCAGGCCCTGGGTTTCCTCCCAGAGCACAGTGAGGCTGTGCTGACAGGGATGGGGTGAGGGTGCAGTCGATGCCTGTGAGACCCAAAAGCTCTGGGATTTCCCACATTCCCTGCTGAGCTGATGCTCTCATGCAGAGCCTGACATGGTACCCCCGTGCCACTGATGTTGGGTCCCACTGACTGCAGCCTCTCCTGAGGCTGCTGTGGTTTCTATCAACTGTATGACTCCTGTGAGTTTGGATCCTCTGAATTCAGTGCTCAGCTGTGTTGGTGCAGATATCCCAGGGGACAGTTCAGCTGGAGGCAGCCAGCCCTGACCTTCCCTGGAGCCCAGACTCTCTGAAATGGAACAGCCCTGGCTGTTGGCCAGTTCAGCGAGGGAGGTGTGAGATTATCTCCTGGGTAACTGCTGTTCTGCACCTCAGGGACTCTGTGCACTCCAAGCACTGCTGCCTTTCTTTGCTTTCAGGACTCTGGATGTGCCCAGAAGCAGCAGCACAGCCTTCAGACCCCCCCAGAAATGGTGCTGGTGTGCAGACTGTCAGCCCAGTGCCCTGTCCAGCGTGCTGGGCTGTGTGTCACTCATTTCCTCCATGGCCAGGTGTGTTCTCACCTGCTATTGATGTGTGAGAGGTGGTTTTCTGACCCACTGGGCCCCTCCTGCACTCCCACCAGCCCATTCCAGCCCTAGACTGGATGCAATCCCAGCATGGAGCTCTGGCCCAGGGGTGGGTGGAGATGCCCTGCCCAGCCAGACCCACCAGTGGGTGTCACATCAGTGACAGTCACTTACACCACTGGCTCTCCACTGGAGCTGCTTCTGAGCAACCACATTTGGTCTCCTCTTCACCAGGGCAGTTCTGCTTAAACCCCAAACCCCTTCCCATGAAAACTCTGGGGAAGGGTGCTGACTGCCAGGCAGGGCAGAGGGAAGAGAGGGGGCAGTGGGCACAGCCTGGATGCTCTACCACAGCACAGAGGCTGTGCACATGGAACAGGGCCACGCTGCACTGCACCCTCCAAGGGAA